CCTCGAGGAAGGGTCCCTCAATGAATTGGGTTATGATCTCCAGTAAACCCAATAGAGACACATATATTGTGCCGATTCTGTCCGTCACCTCGAAGTAGGTCTCGATGTACGAGAAGGTGGCCGACCAGAAGGTGGCGATCCCTATGCCTATAGACACACATCCATTGACATACAATTCATATTAATACCACTAATGATAGGAAGTTATAAGGGACTGACCGAAAAGTACATTTCCCGTCCACATGAGTATAGTGTTGTGGTTTGCAAAGGATAGGAGGACTAGACTCGTGAATACAATCACGTAATGAACGGATAGTATGTATTGCGGGCGCACTCTATACGCCACGTATATACTACAGGCGCGCGTTAGGGTATAGGACGATGTCATTACAAACAACAGTATTGCCGTTTTGTATCCTATTAAATAAAATATAATAATTAGTATTTAATTTTCAAAATAACACGAGAATCACAAGTACCCTGCACATTAGAATAGTATCGAAAAAATGTGGGCGAATAGTCGATATACGCCGACTCGCAGTTGATAATAGTGGCGAAACACACGGCTCCCAACCCTATGACCAGCAAACGGTACGTTCCCGACGACCCCACATATGAGGGGTCAACCACTGGGAAAGTCGAGAATCGTCTCCTATAGGAACCNATAGTCGATATACGCCGACTCGCAGTTGATAATAGTGGCGAAACACACGGCTCCCAACCCTATGACCAGCAAACGGTACGTTCCCGACGACCCCACATATGAGGGGTCAACCACTGGGAAAGTCGAGAATCGTCTCCTATAGGAACCGCTGGTCTGTTCAAAATCATTTATATTTAATCCGGCCACTGGTGTGGACAACCTAGGTCCTTGATGATGTTCATTTGCACGGACATTCAACTGCACCTGTTTCAATTGCTGTATATTTTCATCGGTGAACTGTACGGTATATCTGCGTCGATATGTCTGTTCAGTAGGCCTCTCAACCTCGTGTCCACCCGTCTGGTTGTCTTGCGATTGAGTGTTGGGAATATATTTGTGACACAAATACATGATTAACATCATAATCGCACCCAATATCTGAAGGGAACCGGTGGCTAGGAATGGAGGCAACAGTTTGTGGCTATAATTGATTGTTGTATTCACAGCCGATGTATCGTTCATACAGTTCCCATCACCTTTTTGAATAAGTTTGTTAAATCATTAATTACTTTAAATAATCATTAAATGAATGTATAAAGGACTACTTTCATAAATGATAAGCAAACAAACTGGACAGTTATTATATTTACAATTACAAGAATAATGTATTTATTTTACCCACAAGAAACGGTTCGACTATTAGAGGGCCTATAGTTATGCCCAACCCATAGCCAAACTCCGATAGCTGTAAGAGTGAACCACTTTTGGAGTCCCACATCTCAATGAGCCAAACGGTCTGAACGATGTCTATAACGCCGGCACCGATACCTCCAATCAAACCAAACAAATACATAAACCAAAAACTAGGGCTCATTGGCAACAGTGCCGTCGATATGCCAAACAAGGATATGGTTAATATAAAAGTGCACTGGCGATTTATGTATTTGAATAGAAAACCAACTAATTATCCACAATTAAAGTATAGTTAATTAATTGTGATAAGTATTTGTCACTCATTTACATACATAACGATCCGATGATAGTTCCGATGGCAAAGAGGGTGTAATAATGGGTCACAGTATTGATGTCAGCGTTGATAATACACGTGAAGTCCAGTAACGCCGGCGACATAATAGTCAACGATATTCCCTAATATATTATTAACAGGTAGACTATTAGACAGACAAGTTTTGTACAAGCAACAATTGTAAAAAATAACCAGTATAAACCTAGACTTGTAAAATAAAACTTTTTATATGGTACAGTTATATAATATTATGACAGACTTACGTAGGTAATATTTGCAAAACATAGTAAAAATGTATAACAATATTTATCAAATTTTGATATATTTTTAATATTTGATGTTACAATAGGTGTTTCAGTTTTTGTTTTATTAATACTAATTTGACTATTATTATTAAAACTAAACTTATTTAAATTATTAAACTGTTTATCCGACTCAAGTAACTTTAAGATATATTTATTATTTTCGCACATTATTTAATATTTATGATAATATACTCATTATCCGTAATTATACAAAAGCATTTGAAAAATAGCCTTTTAAATTATTTTATGAATAACAGATTTATTAATTATTAAAACTTTGATTTAAGTACAAAAATCCATTAAAAGTATTTTTTATGTTTACAAAAGTATTATGCAAATGATTTAAAGATTAATTACAAATATATCGATAGAAATGAATGAATCTGAACTTATTATTACATTATTTGAGTTCAATAAAATAGATTTCTAATTACTAATTAATAAAATGTACTTGGCAGCAAGTGTACCTAACACGTTTAATAATTATTAATAATTTATTCATAGTAGTATTGTATAATATATAATTATTGTATCACTCAGTGGTAATTTGTCAATGAAATGTGTAATAATATCAAATAAATATGCTAAAATGTGTGTTTTGTATTAAATACAATATAAATATAAAGCCATCATATGTATCAACAATATTTTACATAATATAACTTTTATATCATTAGCAAAAGCTTAGTTAATATAAAGTATATTGTGTTATTAATTTTATAAATTATAATATACCGTACTATTTTATATGATATAACAAAATCTCATTTAACATAAGCTGATCCGGATAATTATACAGAGTACATTATGCTAAGCTCAGAATACAGTTATTAATAACAACTTATTTTTAATATATTATTTATAATTAATTTATTTATTTAATTAATATTTATAATTTAATTATTATTAAACTACAAGTTCTTATATAGATCCAGAATCTATATTCTTAAAATAACAATTATGTGATAAGTTTACTTATACAATTTTTAATAAACAACGTGTATGATGTTTGCATAGTAACAGTATTTTATCTTTAATAAAAGTTGATAATAATAATATAAACATTTAAAGTAATATATTTAAAGAAATAGTTTATAAAAATTATTATAATTATGTTTTGTTAACTATACTAGTATTACAAATTAACATTATTGTACATCCTGTTATTATATTAAATTTTTATCAATATATGAATCAATAGATCAAAGATTGTAATGTGTTTAAAAGTTACTTATTGCTATTTCATACAATAAAAATAAAACTATAAAACTCTTATCATGATATCCTGATCAGGGAAAGTATAAATCATTAAAAGTTATAACGTGTATAATAAAGTATATTGAAAACTCATTGCATATAATATATTATTTAATATATTTGGTGTATAATTTATTGCATCTTAAGATAAAGTTAATTATGATGTATTTTATTGGACGAGATTTTATATATACTATGATTTCACTTGCAGTTTGTCTTAATATTTCAAAACATAAATTCATTTGTGTCTCACTTATTGTAAATTCCGATGAAATTTATGTAAATTTCGCTGATTTTTTAACATTTGTTACGGAATTATTTGCATTAGTATTCATATAAATACTAAAACTAAATATTATGCTAAAATCACAAATTAAATATTTTAAAAATTTATATTACAAGCTAATATTTTTGCTTTTAAAAATATGATGTGTAATGCAAATAATTTCGTAGCAAATATTAAAATTTCACCGAAATTTACAGATAAGACCCGACATGGAAATAAAAACCTTATATTGAATTATTGGACGCTTTTAAGCCAAATTTCACCTCAAATAAACTATTAGGTAAATATAATGTAAATAACTATCAGTTACGCTAATTGTTATGCCTACGAGTATTTCATTAAATTTAATGTTACGTATCAAACAAATGTAATAAAATATTTTAATGTATTATATTTTCACAAACTTTACATTGCAGGATCAGCATGTAGATATTGTGTATACTTTTGAACAGGGTATTTTCACAATATACAAGGCGAATACAGGGTGGTTCGATAGCAATACATAATCGTTATTTATATACCTCTATAAATGTATTCATCATTATGTATCATCAGTACTTCATAAATAAATACATTTTCCACAATCTTGTATTCATATGAATGTCCTTATTATTAGCAATTGAATGTTCATTGAATCATAAGACTGTGTAATGTATTATAATCAATTTATGTATTATATTTAAATTTTAATTTAATAGGAATTTATATAAAAATAATTTTTAAGTTAAATATTTTGCTACACAAATCCTAATTATAGTCTGTAACAAGCTATATGTTTTATTTAGCCATGTAATCACTAGTTTAATTTTTATTATTAAATAAAATTGAATTTTTTTATCGAATATGTCCATAATTATTGTATGCAAATTATGCAGGATCATAAATATCACATAATACTTAAGTTATGATTTCGTAATATATTAGATAAATCTAATAACTGTAATAATAGGCTAAAACAATTGAAGTAACAATATTAAATAACATACAATTAACTCAACCCTAAAAATCTATAGAATACAGAATCATGATATTATACATACTAATAAACTTTATATGCAATATACGAAAATATCAAATGTTAATTTAATTTAAACCTCTATTGAATTTCTATCAAATATTTGGTAGAAATTCACAACTATTCAACAATACATTTATATGAATATGTTTTGATTAATTTATAAAATTTATTATACAATGAAATCATCAATTCTCATGAATTTTACTCATTTAACACAAGTAACAGTCGGCGAGTATAGTCCTCTACTAAACCTAAACTTTTCGAGCACTTATTGGCCACCATTTATTGACATAGACTACAAGTCCGACAATATTGAGCTGTCGGGCCCTATGTTGGCCTTCCTCATAGAATTAGCCAATAAACTCAAACTCAGGTAAAAATTATAATTAAATTTTCAATATTATTTATTAACTCTCTCCTATTCATTACTAATTGCTTACTCAGTTTGGCATACTATAAACCAGTTAATGATACCATTGATAACTATTACATGCACCTGGATGCTGGTCAAATAGATTTACTCATATACCCCACGGCACCTACTAATATCGCAAATATCCTGTTTATAAGTAGGGTAATAAGTCATCCATTAGGTTTCATTGACACCATAAGCATACTGTCGGGTAGCGGGCACCTACAGATACCTATTTTCAATTTTATCCCAGTTTTTGATCAATACATATGGATATTAATCGCCATTTCCTACGTTATGAGCTCATCCCTGGCCTCATATATACGACAAAATATAACTCAATATTTACTCTATTATTCAATTTTATTCAATCAGTCAAATAAACACGATTTAAGACAAATGTCCACCAGTTATACCCTTTTGTTGATCAGTTGGCTATTCCTGACGACAATAGTCTACTGGAGTTTTCACGAGGAGTTCCTCTCATCGGTGTTTCACACTCGACCGCACGTCAAGATAGACTCCATCGAGGATTTGGCGCACTTCTCATCGGACGGACGGATCGTCGAGTTCTACGCCCTGACCGGCGAGTCGTGCGAAGACTACGTCCGATACAGTGAGGACCCCATTGTCAAGATGTTGGAGACCCGGATGAAAGTCATCGAAATCCGTGAGAATGATAAGGATATGTGGGAGTCGGACATATTCCCGAAGTTGGCGTCCGGTATCTACGCCCTGGTCAGTGATAACGCGTATTTGGACTACTATTATATCACCAAATTAGCTAAATATCCGACATTGTACCGTGCTAAACACGATTATATGGAGCTGCCCTACTTTATAGCCATGTCCGGGAGAGTTACTCCCGAGTTCATAAAATGTGTAAACTCTATGTAAGTTTTATTTTAATACTAACATTATATCCAATTTAATATTATTATATAAGTAATTAAATGAAATTTTAACAAAAAGGATCGAGCTATTCATGTCATCTGGCATTTACGAGCACCTGGTGAGCGAGACCCTGTTCCTCAACAACGATGCCTTACATAAGGGTCTCATACAGACAGACGATGAACACCCGGCCGCCCAGGGATTAAAAATTGGCCACTTGTTTGGAAATTATATACTATTTTTTAGCGGAATATTCCTATCAATGATAGCATTTATTAGTGAAAGTATAGTAAACCCTAATATAATTAAGAAATCATTTGCTAAAACAAGTGTAGACCAGTATCACAATGAGATATTGAAAATGAAACTTGAATATCTCAAAGTGTATCGACATATGAATAAATTTCTAAACTCCACTAAAAGGCAAATAAATGATAAGGAGTCTAATGGGAATAGTATTCAATGTAATAGTAATTCAGAATATTCTACAAATTGATTTCATGGATATGAAGTGGATATTTGCTTTCAAACTTATCAAATAATGCATATCTAATTAAAAGTATTTTACAGATTATATCATTAATTGTTATCTTATTTATGAAAATATTTCAACAAATATATATCTCATCATATGAATATCACATGTATTTTGTTTATTATTATTATTTTTATGAATTATTAGATTATAAATCCAAAATATACTATAGTATTGTAGTCATTTTATGTGTCATATAACTTAAATGTCTAATAAAATATTTATAAGATATTTGATAAAACTTAAGGTATAAAAACATACATTATATATCATTTTTATATTTCGTGTTATTTTGTCTTGTAATTTAAAATTAAGATGCAAATAAATAAATAAAAATAAAATAAGTTTAGTTTCAAGACAACTAAATTGCGTTATTTTAAAAGTTATATAACTTATATAATTTAGTTTTATTTTCATTCAGTATGTTCAATCATACAGTACAATCTATTCTTAATAAATATAATATTATATTATAATTATTAATTATTTAATTATGTTAGATAAGTGCAAAACAACTTAAAATATAAAATAAATTTTATTAAACCATTAAAACATTTGTAAATAATTGCTATTTAATGATGTTTTGAAAATAATATTATGGCGTAATTTAATACACTATAAAATATCTAATAGTAATAAAACTTTTTAAGTTATCGGAAACTCATTTATGTTGTTTACAATTTTGTATAAGACCTATCTCATTTTAACTATTACTAGACATTATTGACTGGATAATTTATTATCAAAACTATGAATGACTCGCTAATAATACGCGATATTAAGAGTGATTTTAATAAACACTGTTTTTTCTATAGATTTAATAAAATTAATAAATCTGTTGACCAGGGCTTTAAGATATTATTTTTACTTTATTATTCAAGTAGTGTTAGTTTTACAAAACCTACTTTTATTTCTGTATGCAAATGGTAAAACATTGTCCGTATACTATTTTAACCTACTACAATACATGTCGGAGTATGATCAATTTATGTATTTTGGTGGCATCATAGACGGGTCACTTGCTATAAGCTTAATGTACGTATAATCATAGCTTAATAATCATAACTATTATTATAACTATAAGTGGTTTACAATTATTGATGTATTATCTGGTGATAAACCATTTCATTGCATAGATTTGTGCGACAAATATGTTATCAATAGATACGTTAAAAAAGTACGTTTTGTTCACAAAGTTGTTAAACTATTCATTACAGCATTTAACTAATCTGTACACAAAACCATTTTCAAGTGATTTAATTGTAAATAAAATTCAAGAATTATGTAACAATCATAACAAGGTATGCTACGATATTAAGGTATACAATGAATTTTGGAAATTGTATATATTTTGTTTCTATTACGTGATGACCCCGCTCACATTGTTTGCCATGCAATTAGTAGTCAAAGTGGATATTATTACCAGGATTTTTGTTGCTAATTTTCTAGTAATTATGATAGCAAGCACACTTTTGTTCAACTTATTCACCGCGTCGCTGAATTACGAATCAATTAAATCGTATAAATATTTCAATAAACTTTATATGACTTTTAATTCAGATTGTAATTTTAAACTCAATTTTAAAGTAAGCATTCATTTGTAAAATTTTATTTTTTAATTATATTATATTTTTAATTTAAAAAACGGGTGATAGAAATCATTTGATAGGCTTTTCGTGTTATAATCAGTTTGTCATAACACGACAAATTGCATTCAGGGTAAGCATACTATTGAACTTATTTTGTACTATTGTTAGGTAGTATACTTCCCATTTTTACAAATAACATTTTAATTTATATTATTAAACAAGCAGTATTAGATAATTTATATAAAGAATCAAATAAATTGTATTAAATTTTATTTATGTAACCTTAATTATGGTAATATTTTATTATTGACAATACTCAAATAACATTTTAATTTATATTATTAAACAAGCAGTATTAGATAATTTATATAAAGAATCAAATAAATTGTATTAAATTTTATTTATGTAACCTTAATTATGGTAATATTTTATTATTGACAATACTTTATTGTTACTTTATATGGGAAGTCTTTTGGCATAATAATTTCATAACATTTTTTTATTTTATACCATTTTATATTAATCTGCAGTTTTTTGTCATATTTATGCGCTTTTTTATACTGACCAACAAATTGGCAAATTCAATGAAAAATACAATTTGAGGTAAAGTATATAAACCTATGTATTATATAAAAATATATTTCATTACTAGTTGACAATATGTTAACGTACAGTATCTCAATAACTATAATAATCTAATGTTGGGGTTTAAAATTAATTGAATTGTATTATTATTGCTGTAACCACTGGCCTTAAGCATACATAATACAAAACCTGCAAATATTTGTTTTATAAGTGAAAAACTACCAGTGCTTCTACATGTGAAAAGAAATTTCCGTCTATTTTTCAGTACATGCCTTAAAACAAGACTTAATAAACGGATACCAAACGAGTGAAGCGTTTCTTAACGTGTTTTCCAAAAATTACTTTTCATTAAAACAGTTTCAAAAATATTTTTGTTATTTTAGACTATTTTCTCAGAAATAAAATATTTTACATCTGAATATAGCTATGATTATAAAGTTTGTATTCAACAATTTCATTATATTTGTGGTGACCATTCAATTATGCGTGGCATTAATACCACCCCAAATGTTACGTATGATGGTGCCTAATAAGGGACAGGCAGCTTATGGCCGCACCGATGTTAATCCCATGAGAAATGTGGAAAACCAAGGTATTTATAATGATAAATATTTTTAGTTTCATTAATTACTATCCAAAATAGCTATAATTATATCTATGTTTAGCTTAAAACATAAGATTTATTTTAAAATATTTTTGTATTAAAGGCTATTATCAGGGATTTTACGGCAAAGCAGATAACGACGCGCCGTATGATAACCCGGTGCGAGGATTTGGTATACCAGTAGGTGGTGGCGGCGGTGGTAGTAATGACTATGGATTACAGTCTTTCCCCGATTACAGCGACTATTGATTAAGTAAATAGAAAATTAATATATTATATAATAAATAAAAATCATACTATACTTAACTCACATACAAACTCTATGTAATTTAAATGTACAAAATTATATAAAATTAATTAAACACTACATAATTTATTTCTAAATAAAATGAGTTTCCAAATATAAAAATCATGTTTTCATTTGATTTATTTAATGATGCATTTAATTACAGTAAAAAGCATTTAAAAACTATATCATACAACACACTTAAGCGACAATTAATGATTAATAAAAAATACTTTAAAACACTAATAAAAGAATTTTGAATAAAAAAACGACAAATAAATAAATATTTTTGCAAAAATAAAACAGCATGATCATAAAAAAACTTACACTAAATAAAAAAAACAATAAACTCTACAAAAAACATCAAAAAGTCATTCATATCCCAGAATATTCTCTCTCACAGAATATTCTTACGCTTGAGTCCCGTACCGCCTAACCAGGGGTACTCCTCGGGACAGGGCTGGCAGGTCTTGAAAAATCGGGAGCCCTTCTTGAAGGACACGTTACACACCGTCGGGTGATGGCAGGCCTGGGGTCTGGCCTCCTTGTCCTTCGGGCCGCACTTCCAAGGCGTGAACTTATGGAGCCTCGACAGAGGGGTCGGTTCCCTCATCCACTGTATTAACTGCCAGTTGGTCACGAAGTAGACGTCGTTTAGTTTGAGTACTTCGTCAATGAATTTGAGAAAACCGGACAAATGGTGTCGTGTGTTAAACCACGCGGAGTGGTAGTACAGACCGAACGGCGCCCGATTGGACTGGTAGTGGCGCTGGAAGTTCTTCATTATCATGTCGTACACGCCGTTCTCGTCCGAGGGGTTAGAGCAGGCGTCCCCCATTGAGCACCGGCCCCCCTTCAGGTCCTGCCACATTACTAAACCGATTTCCCATAAGCCTGTCCCCCCATATACATAGACATACGGTTTAGATTTGATTAATAGTATTAAAAATATTTAAAATAATTGTAAAAATATTACTTATAATTTTTGTTATCTATCATACTATAGCATAAAATTCAAAATCTACATTTATATCAATTATTAATTTTAAAAAGTTTATATTAAATAATTCCTAGTATAAAAGTAAATAAGATAATAACTAACAAATTATATTTTTTTGATAAAGATTTATAAATATAATTTAAACCCCTTTATTACTGTATGCAAAGATTTATTATTTAATCTCTAATAGAAATATAATTATGATATAAATAATTAGATAACAAACTCCTAATCAATCATCTATTTTAAATATTCATGTAATCAATAAGTTTAAAATCTAATCTATAATAAGATTCCGCTATTTATTAAATAAAATAACGATTTACTAAGTATAACATATCCGACTAGTTTATATTGATACGTTCAAAATCTCAATAAACTTGCAAAACACACTCAACACATGTAATCCATAATTGCATATAAAAACTATTTTACACTATAATTGTTTAGCACACAAAAACTTTATAACCACTTAATAATCAACCAAAAGCATCACACAAAAGGCTTATAATTAATAGCCCGGTACGATAAGGTAGTCTCACATACCTGGAAACGATTTTGTGGGACAGGGGCTGATCATACACTCGTGATTGATGGCGTAGTCGAGAGTGTAGGGCCAAAACGGGGGCGAGTTTTCAAATATAGCCATCGATGAGTCGTACGTGAAGTTCATCTCATATAACATCTCAAACTGTTTATTGCCCCCTATTTGCAGAAAGGGGGCTCTCATGCCACGAATGTCCTCCAGGGCTACCCCTCCATACGTATTGAGTATATTTCGCTGACCATTAATCTCTTTAATCCATTGGCTTTTCGAGAATTTTTCACCAAAACTATGACTGAATACCGGATAAAATTAACGCCAATTATAATAAACACATTAATAATTGCTATTATTTTGTATGTAGGTAGTTTGTTATAACTGGTGTTGCAAAATAAACCCGCCGTTTGAAAGCAAGTTTTGTAAAAAGTTTTACTTTAACGTTACAATGTTAGGTTCAAATAGTGTTTCTGTTTTGTGTAATCAGATATAATTACATAATATAATGAATGCATTAATACGTGTATACGAGTAGCACATGAATTATTGAATGATTTGTTTTTAATGTATTTTTCACTTAATTTAGTCGTGATTTGGGATATTTATATTAAAAATAGCAGTTTTCATGTTTCTTAACAGTAGTCTTAATCTTATTTTTTAGAAAAAATATCTGAATTTTATTTTGTATACAGACACTAATTATATGCGAAATAACCGTTTATTTTGTTTATTTGATTTTATCATGAGATATATAAACTACTATTAATTTATACACATATAAAATATAGTTTTTAGTTTTTCATTAACGTAGATCTTTGTATAAAATCTTACATTAATTAATCAATTCATTTCATTAAATAAATATATGAATAAAACTCAGCTTTTGTTTGTTTATTACGAAAATATTTTCAAAAGTATTCCCAAAATAAATTCATTGAAATCCTTATTCAAAAATATGTTTTTGTTTATTATTTTTTGTGCACATTATTTTGAATAAGATATCAAAAAAGGTAACTATTTTTCAAAAACCTTTTAATTTGATTATAATTAGATATTAGCAAAAATATTTTCATAAAGATTCAAACCATAGATAAGCTCCTAATTCATCGCTACATGTCTACCATATATTGAAAGATCTAAAAATATAATCAAAATTTATTTGAAACATATTTATCACAAATAAATTATCTCTCAATTAAATTACAAATATTTCTGATTTTATTTATTTATACATATCTCTGAAAAACTATTGACACATTTGACATCCCAGGCCAGGGGTCGATCACTTTTTGCAGTTGAATGTATAGACTATGACCGACTGCACCGTTAGGTAAATGTTGAGCAAAAGTCTCAGCAACTCGAGGGTCAGTAAACCGATTGA